TCTTGTTTTAAAAAAAAAAAAGATTCATTATTGCTGTTGAGCTGAGATGAAACAATTCCCTGGAATTAACGAGGCTAATTTTGACCAGCCAATGTTTTGCTACAATGAAAGTTTTTATTGTTGCACATAAAAGCCAGAAACCCCCAGAAGCCCCTCGGGGAGGAGATGGGGGAAACGATAACGGGGCTGCAAGAGCGGGTGCATACACACACACAAGGCTGTCTGAGGGAGGGACCCCCAGGAGGGACCCCCCCAAAACCACACCACAATTACCCCACCAGTCCTGAATCCTGGATGGGCCATTCCAGAGTGTTTTTTCCCAGGCAGAGATCAGGGATGCTCCGGGCTCAGCAGGATGTGGGGAGGCTCATCCTGCTTTGGTGGGTCATGGAGGTGAGGATTTAAAGCAGATAGAGCCCCTCCCCGAGCAGGTTTGGCCATGGGACAAGACCCTGGAGCATCAGGGGCTGGTGGGGGCAGCCCTGGGGATGGGAGTGGGACTGACAGGGAGAGGAATCCAGGGAAGCAGTGGGATTTGTGGTAGGTGGATCATCGAATGCTGGAATGGTTTGGATTGGAAGGGACCTTAAAGCCCATCCCATCCCACCCCCTGCCATGGGCAGGGACACCTTCCACCAGCCCAGGTTGCTCCAAGCCCCGTCCAACCTGGCCTTGGACACTTCCAGGGATCCAGGGGCAGCCACAGCTTCTCTGGGCAACCTGTGCCAGGGCCTCCCCACCCTCCCAGCCAAGGATTTCTCCCCAGTATCCCATCTCTCCCTGCCCTCTGGCAGTGGGAAGCCATTCCCTGCATCCTGTCCCTCCATCCCTTGTCCCAAGCCCCCAGTGCCACTAGCCCCCTCTGGAATGGCTCCTGCCCCCCTCCTGCCACGGGCACCATGTGCCAACCCCACTAATGATTTTTTCAGCGTGAAAAAGCTCCACAGGGTTTGATTTTTTTGCTGTTGTGCTGTTCTGCTTTTTGCGTTGGCTCCGGTTGTTGGTTGGTTTTTTTTCCAAGAGGGATTAAGCCAAATTAGTTTTTATCTCTTTCTGCAGTTTTCCACTGGGATTCAGTGAAGCACCAGCGCCTGAGAAGAGAAAAACGATAAACATCTAAAGGCAGCCACTCTGCTGCTGTTTTATCTGTGCCATTTGAAGTGATGACACCCTTCAACCAGATAAACAAAGCGCGAGGAGGGGCTCGTCGTTAGCTGGAGTGCGTTCGGCACCGGAGCCTCCCTGCCACATTACAGACAATGGCAGCGCACAATCATTCATTATAACTCAATTACAGTAATTAAAACTGGTGGGATGCAGAGGCAGAACAGACGAAGGGAGTAGTGCCAACAGAATTTACACTCCGTGTCATCAGCCAGCGATAACAACAGCTGATGGTGTCCCCGAGCCTCCTCCTGCCATCTGTTCCCAGCCCGGGGATGGTGTTCCCAGCCCGGCAACCGATTGGGTGCCGCGGCAGCGGGAGGGCGATGGATGGGAAGGGGTGGGAAAGGGCTCCCGGAGTGCCTCGCTCGGGGGGAGATGCCCTGTACACCCCCAGGGGTGAGCTGCTCCCCAAGCCGGGCACAGAGCCCGGGATAACGGAGCGAGAACGGAGGGCAAAGCACATGGATGTGCCTGGGGCACAGCCCGGTGTGGCTTGCAGCACTGCTGGGGTGGGCAAGGCTTGGTACGGCATGGCATGGCATGGCACAGTGTGGCACACACAGCATGGCACGGCATGGCACAGAAAGGCATGGAACAAATCAGCATGCGTGAGTGGCGTGGCACATGTGGCATGGCACAGCACGACATGGCACGGAACAGCATGGAATGGCACACATGGCACAGCACACAGGGCATGACACAGCATGACGTGGCACAGAATGGCACAGAGCATGGAATGGCACACATGGCACAGCACGATGTGGCACAGAATGGCACGGAAGAGCACGGAATGGCACACGTGGCACAGCACATAGAGCATGGCACACAGAGCATGGCACACATGGCACAGCATGACATGGCACGGAATGGCACAGAACAGCACAGACTGGCACACATGGCACAGCACACAGGGCATGGTACAACATGGCACAGCATGGCATGACCCGGCACAGAGCACACAGCGTGGCACAGCACACAGGGCACAGCACACGTGGCACAGCTCTGCCTGTTTCCCAGCGCTGCCCTTCAGGGAGCAGAGACTGTGGCAGAAGCAGCTTTTCAAGGCAGCCTCCTTGGGGACAACATCCCCGGGGGTCACCACGGGGCAGGGGACACACGTGCCCCCCACCAGTGGCACAGGAGCCCTGTGGTATCCCCAGCACAGGGCTGTCCCCCAGCCCAGGCCTTGCACTGGGAACTGGGAATTCCCATTTCCCCAAGGATCATGGACCGGCTGCACCCCGAGAGTCGGGAGGGAGAAGGGGAGCAGTGCCCAGCTCGGGGGTGACGGGGTGGTGACCTGCACCTGGTGACCTGCACCCAGCCACTGCACCCTCCCTGTGGGACCTTGGGCCTCAGCTCAGGCTCCAGGATGGGCATCACTGTGGGAAAGCAGCCAGGAGCAACGGCAGGAGCACCGGGAAGGGTGGCAGGGACAGGGGGACCCCAAAAGGGTGAGGGCTGCAGGGGACACTCAGAAGGAGAAAGGTTACAGGGGGACCCCAAAAGGGTCACGGCTCAGTTCTGATGCTCAGCATCTTCTGGAATCAAATCCCTCCCCACCTCCACAGGATCCCTTCCTTGCAGGAACACGATGCTCACAGAAGGAAATCACTGATAAAAAGTGGGCAATGCCCCCCAAAAGGTGCCGTTTGCCGGGATGCCAGGCCATGGGCAACCTGCACATCCTTGGGATCCTGGGGGGATCCCGCAGTAACTCCCACTGGATTTTCCAGCTGCTGCGTGACGTCTCTGCCATCACACGCCAATGTGTCACAGCACCATCCAAGCCTGACTAAAAGCACATTAAAAAAGGCCCTTATGAATGTATAATTTAAAAAAAAATTAGTGTGGGGGCTCGGGATACTTTAAAAGTCCAGCTGTTGGGCATAAATGGGAACGGGAGAGAGCACGCCCGGCTCCAGCACCTCCTCCCTCAGCACTTGGAGAGGCTGGAGCCCAACCAAATGAACTGCAAAGGGCAACAGTTTGCTGGGAACTGTTGAAAGGCGAAGCTGGAGCCGCTCAGGTGCCGAGGGGGCGGCGCGGGGGGGGCCGGGCCGGGTCCCTTCCGCTCCCCTGCGCCGGGAATCCAAATCTTCCAACAAAGGATTGCCTGCGATTTTGATCTTTTAATGATCCCCTGTGTAAGCCCCTCGTTCCATCCAGCTTAAAATCAGATTGAAATGCACTCCTAACCCTCTCCCACTGCACATTATCAGGAAGCCAAGCGGGCAGAGTGCTGCTCCTGCTTTTTATTTCTCCCTCGCAGCAGGCCCTGTCATGTCCAATACATCACGGGAGCCCCCGGAGGACCCTACATATGTCCTAGTTCAAGGAAAGTGCTTTGTCTCTGTCAGGGGTGCCCGGGCTGGAGCACAGGAATGCCAGGGCACACAGCCCGTGGATTGGGAGCCACCCGACCCAGTCCCTTGGGCACCCCCTGGGTGCTGGGTGCCCCCTTCCCAACCCTTTCCCCGCATCCCCAGGTCCTGACAGGAGCAGAAACAAAGCTGCTGGTGATGCCTTTGGGATGGAAAAGGGAAGGATGGGGGTTGGGGTGTGTGAGGGGTGCCCAAGGTGGAGCCCATCCCTTGGCAGCTGGTGAGGGGGAAGATGCCAAGGGCTGGGGATCCAGGGGGCTTCTCCCATCAATCCTGAGCTCAGCTCTTCCTCCATCCGACCTCCATCATCACCCCATGGATGAGGAGGGCCCTGTGCCCCCCAGCCCCCCAACACCTTCTTGTGCTTTTATCAACCCCTCAGTGCAGGATTTCAGGGATCAGAGGGTTTAGAGACACTTTGCTTTCGGTTGAGCTTCAGTACATTTACTTTTTATTCTTTTTTTTTTTTCTCTTTTTCGCCCTTTTTTACAAAAACCAGTGGTAGTTATTAACAGCTGTACAGATTCTGCTACATACTTTGGTGTAAAGTTGAGAGCCTGACTCCGGAACGCTCGGCCAGCTCCGGTACATGCAGTTCCTGGATTTTATTCTTGTTATTTCGGGGAGGAAAACCAAGCACCGACCTGCAAACCAGTGACTCTGGGGGACACAAAGCTGGGGGTGACCCCACTGCTGGAGGGTTTTGCCCTGGGAGGAGGTCAGAGCCCCCCAAGCCTTTCCAACACATCCCATCTGTGCAGACGGGGATGCTCCGAAGGCCACGGCGAGGGGATGCTGTGCCCAGGTTTGGGGGCACAGAGGAATGGACAGAGCCGCCCCCACAGATCCCAACCAGCCCCAGGATCAACCTGAGCCCCAAAACACACCTGGGGCATCACTGAACCGCTCCTGTTGGCACCGGGGGCACCTTCAGAGTCATTAATCTGAGCCAAACCACCCTAAAATCACTTGCCCTAAACGCAGCTTTAAAGAACTTGGTTTTTCCTTTGCTGGATCATCAGTGCCCAAAACTGATCCCACACACCACACACACCCTGTGCCTGGGTCCTTCCCTTATTTTTACTTTGAAAAGGGCTAAAAATCTCAAAAACCTCTTATTTTGATGGGAAAAATAATGATTTCCCATGAGATCTCTCTCCTCCTTCCAACCCCAGCTCAACTGTCCACACCTGGAGCAGCTGCAGGGCTGGGAGAGAGGCTCCTCAGAGGGATGCAATGCCAGGTACCAACTCTCCATCCTCCTCTCCCCCCTCTCCAAACCATTCTCCCCATAACCCTAATCATTATTAATTTTGGACCAGATTCAAATCGCAAAAAATAATCCATAAAAATGTCGTATAAAAATCCTCTTCCATATGCTACAATACAGGGTGAGCACTTCTGCTACACAAATACTTTTATTTGCCCGTTAGGTCTTTTTTTTTTTTGTCCTTTTTTTTTTTTTCTGTCCTTTTTTTAACCCTTTAGTACAAAAGGCTGACACAGGCCTGTGGGGGGAGGGGATTGCTCCAAAAGACCAGAAGACACAAGACCATAAAGCCCACAGGACCACAACCAGCCCCGGCCCCCCCCAACCACACACAAACCCTACTTGTTAGTAAACTTTTTGCTTCTTAAAAAAAAAACAAAAACAAAAAACCAAAACCAAAAAAAAAAACCAACCAAAAAAAAAAAACCTGTATTTTTTCTTTTTCTTTTTTTTTCTTTAAAGGTTATCAATTCTAATTCTTTACTTTCATTTGAATACAAAACACATAAGTTGCTTTATCTTTCGTGGCTCCCTGAGCTGAATTTTCTAAGCTTTCTTTGAAATCACTCCTCATTGCTTCTGTCCGAAGACCAAGAAGGGCTTTGCGCAGACGGTCCCGCAGCGTGGGCTTCCCCTTTTGCTTCAAACATCCAAGCACGGAAAAAAATAAGGATAAATCCATATATAAAAAAAAAAAAACCAAAAAAAAACCAACCCAAAAAAAATCCAAACCCAACCAGGTGACTGTGTTGATGTCCCGTCAGCAGCTGAGGATATCCGAGCGCTCCCGGGATTCCAGCGGCGTTCCCACCATCACTAACACACCCAACGACGCACGGGGACGACAGGAGGGACAACTTTGCACCACTGGACAGCTCCACTCAGCCTGCACGGCAAAGTCACGTCCCCACGGACGCTTCCAGAGGGGGCAGGGAGGAAAAAAAAAACCCAAAACAAAAACCAAACAAAAAAAAAACCAACCCAAAAAAACCCATAATAAAATTGCCACCACCAAAACCATCAGTGGAATACAATTACAGCAGACGAAAAATACACAACTAGTGTACCGGGAGGGACCCCCCCCCTTCAACGCTATTTACTAGTCCGGTATTTACACTTTTCACAAGTCTTATGCAAGGCTGCACAAAACAAACAAAAAAAAAAGTCACGATAAAAAAAGGAGTCCTTTATAGTGCCACCAAAAGCGCAGACGGAAAGAACCGGAAAACCAAAAAAAAAAAAAATTAAAAAAAAAAATCAAAAGAAACCCCACGACCCTAAAAAACCAAAGAGAAACATCCGTTTGGGGCTCCAACGTGTGCCAGAGTCGCAGATCTCCAAATAAATCCGTGTGTGGCGGACGCCGGGCAGAGCCCCCTCGGAGCGGGCACGGTCCCTGGGCCACCCCGTGGCATCCCCCGCTGCTTCCCGAGTCCTGCGGGGCCGGGAGCTGCCAGCCCTCCCAGAAACTCCACGCTCAGTAGATGACCTCGTAGACTGTGGCCTTCTTGTCACCAGAGCCCGTGACGATGTACTTGTCATCCGCTGAAATGTCACAACTTAAGACGGACGAGGATTCCTTGGACTGGGAAAAGGAGGAAGAGGAGGGGAGAGCATCCATCAGTTTGGTTTCCCTGGCTCGCCAAGCGCCATTCCATGCTGGTGGCATCACCACATTCCACAGGCTGGGCACCCACCCGGCCACCCCAAGAGGATCCTCCCTCTCTCCAGGGCTGGCAGCCCCAGGCATCACGCCAAGAGGGGGTCTGGGTGTAGTCCTCATTCCTTGCCCTTCCCAAGAGGCTCCTACCTGGAAGATGCTCGCTCCGTAGGGCGTCCTCCAGGCGTTGAGCAGGTTGTCTTTCCCAGTGCTCACAAACCATTTCCCTGTTCCCAGAAAACACGGTGTCAGTAGTCAAATAAACACTGCCATTGCCACCCCTACAGACAGATCCTGGGGCCAACCTCTCCCTGCCCCACAGGCTTCTGGCTGTTTGACCTTAGAAAGTGGCCATTTTGGAGAAATGGGAAAATCTGGAGATTCCCCAGAGAAGCTTGTCCAGTCCCTCTCCCTTGGGATACATCCCTCCAGTCACCCGGGGCAGGTGCTGCTTCCCACCTCCCACGATGCCACGTGGCGATCGGCAACCACAACTGGGGTGGTTTTATGGAGATACCCCCCAAATGCACCATCCATGGGACGTATCCTACTGGAAACATCCTTGTTCAGCCCCCCACCACCGTTCCACGCACCATCCCTTCCTCGTGGGCATCCCTGCTTCCCATCCCTGGAAGTGTTCCAGGCCAGGCTGGACAGGGCTTGGAGCAACCTGGTCTAGTGGAAGGTGTCCCTGCCCATGGCAAGGGGTGGGACTGGATGTTTATTAAGGTCCCTCCCAAGCCCAACCATTCCATGATCCCCACCCACCCCCGGATGGACCAAGCTCCGGGCAGGAGCCGCTCACCGCAGTAGGCGAACTTGAGGGAGAGGACGCAGCTCTCGTGGAGGTGCAGCTGGTACTTGTCAGGCTTGGTGTGGTGCAGCACCTCCACGTTGCTGCTCTCCATGCCCACTGCCAGCCACTCGCCCGTCGGGCAGTACCCCAGGGAGAAGATCTGCAGCAAAAAGCGGGACACGGGGATGCTCAGGGGATGCCAGCTCTGCCCACAGCCCCCCAGGGAGGGTTGGAACTAGAGGGGCTTCAAGGTCCCTTCCAATCCAGCCACTCTGGGATTTATGGCAAGGGTGGAGGTTGCTGGGCAGCCCCAGACTGGTACAGCAGGTTTGGAGAGGCACATGCATGTGTTTGGAGCAGCCACGTGAGCTGTGAATGCCGGGATGGCTCCAGCCCCCTAGATGCTGCTGCACTTGCCAAATGGAATTGAGATCCCAGCTTTGCCCCTCTGGATCAGGGCCATGGGAGGGTCTGCTGGAGGAGGCAGGATCCTGATCCCTGCAGCCACCCCACCCACAGGGCACCCACAGAAACCTGTTGCATCCACAGCCATCCCATGGGAAGCTCTGCCTTCCTAACGGCAGCCTGACTGTGCAGGGATGGAGAAATAAAGACAGAGAAGCTGAAACCAGATCCAGGGAGCCCCACAGCTCCTACTGCCTCCGACACTCCTGGGTTCCACCAAACACAGCAGGAACAGCCACGCTCAGGGCCAACAGGGCCATTTTCCCAGCAGGAAAAGCCCCCTCCCACAGCCCCACATGATCCAGCTGCCAAACAAGCTGCCCTGCTCTCCATGGAGGGATAAACCCCTCCGTGGGGTCTCTGCATGGCAGGGCCAGGCCGTCCCCAGCCCGTTACCTGGGAGGTGAAGTCGTGCTGCTGGAGCTGCCGCCCTTCCCGCAGGTCCCAGGAACGCACCGTGTTGTCCAGGCCCCCCGTCCACAACTTCGTACCATCGTGGGAGATGTCTATGCAGCTGGCACCGTCTGTGTGGCCTTGGAATTGCCTTTGAACCAGAAAAAAATATGGAAATCTGCAAGGGGAACGCTGGGAAAAGCACGGAGGTCGGTTCAAGGTGCTCGGACATCATTTGTGAGGCTTATCCACAGCAAACACGCCTGGAAATCCATCCAGGAGGATCCCTTGCTGAGGAGCTGCAGCATGAAGTGTACTGGGCTTGCTTAAAGATGAGCACCACAAGATGGATGGTGCAGCACCAAGAGAGCGTTCCTGCCATCATTCCATATCAACTGTGGCTGCCCCATCCCTGGAAGTGTCCAAGGCCAGGCTGGATGTGGCTTGGAGCAACCTGGGCTAGTGGAAGGTGTCCCTGCCCACGGCAGGGGAGTGGACTGACATGAGCTTTAAGGTCCCTTCCAACCCAAACCATTCCAGGATCTCCGAGCTCCTCCCAGCAGAGCACACCCAGGAAGGCCCCGAGCCCGAGCAGACCCCGCTCACCTGACGAGGGTCTGGTTGTGCAGGTCCCACACGGCGATGTTGCCGTCGCTGCAGCAGGAGAAGCAGACTTTGGCGTCGGGGCTGATGGCCAGGGCGTAGCAGGCGGGGGCCGAGGAGGTGAGCTCGGCCTTGATGCGGGGCGTGGGCGACGCCAGGTCCCAGATGGTCAGCGTGCTGGCCTCGCCCCCCACGATCAGCGTGCGGCCGTCCGGGAGCAGCTTGCAGGAGCGGATGTAGTTATCCCTGTTCTGGGGGGGAAAGGGGAGCAGGTGTTCATGGGGGGAGAGGGGAAAAGGAAAGAGATGTTAATGGGGAAGAGGAAAGGTACGTTTAAGGGGGTGAGGAGGAAAAGGGAGGGCAACGAGAAAAGAGGAAAAAGAGATGGTGGTAGGGAGAAGAGGAAAGGGAGGATGACAGGGGAAAAGAGACGTTAAAGGGGGAAGAGGAAAAGAGATGTTAAAGGGGGAAGAGGAAAAGAGACATTAAGGGGGAAGAGGAAAAGAGACGTTAAAGGGGGAAAGAGGAAAAGAGACGTTAAAGGGGGAAGAGGAAAAGAGACGTTAAAGAGGGACAAAGATGCGATGGGAAGAGGAAATGGGAGGGAAGAGGAAAAAGATGGTAATGAGGGTACAAATGGTAACAGGGAAGAGGAAAGGGATGGTAATGGGGGGAGAAGAGGAAAAATAGATGGCAACGTTGGGAAGAGATGTTCATGTCAATGGGGAGAAGATGATTAATGGCATTAGAGGTGGGGGAAGGAGGGGTCACACACACCTGGGCCCAGCAGGACCCCCCCCACGTCTCACCAGGACGCTGCTGCGGCCCCCCCAGCCCCTTACCAGGCAGTCGAGCTGGGAGATGGGGCTCTTGCTGCCGGGCTGGCTGATGTCCCAGATCTTGACGCAGCCCTTGCCGCCGGTGTAGACGTGCCGGGTGGGGTTGCTGATGGTGACGGCGCACACCACCTCGCCATGGCTCAGCGTGTTGATCTGCCGCGCGTGCCGGGGGATGCCGGGCCCCGCCAGCGCGTCGTGGGGGAACGGCACCGGCTGCATCTGCCCGTCGGCGCTCACGTGGAACGAGTAGGCTCTGCCATGGGAGGGCAGAGGGGGGTCAGCCCAGAGGGGCAGCGGGTGGCTTTGCAGTCCGGCTGCCACGCTGTGCCCCGACCGGGGGCTTGGCTGAACCCAGCCCTGGGTGAAGGATTTGTCTCCCTCCCGCCCGCACTGATCCCCCCCCAAATCCATAAAAAAAAACAAAAAGGGGCTTACGGTTTCCCCCCGGGGATGGAAGCCAGGCTGGAGGGCAGGCCAGGGGCTCGCATGGGTGGGTGTGGATCAAAACCAACCTGCCGAGAGACATACGGACACGGGTGAGGCCAGACACGAGCTGAGCACACCAAACACCTTCCCAACCATGAGCCCACAGGACACTGAGCAGCTTCCTCTTTTCCCTTGCTGCTCAAGAGCTAATTGTATTATTCCCCCAGCAGAAAGGGGAAAACTGAGGAATTAGCCAAAGGTTTTGGGGCTGCGAGGAGCAGGGTGGGATATGCTCCCCCTCCCCGTGCTGTTCCCAAATCCCCAGGGACAGGAGCAGCCAAGTCGTGCTCAGCACTCCGGCTGCAGAAACCCCCATCTCTGCATTAATGGCAACGTTTTACTTCTTGGTTTGACTTGTTTTGCCTTACAACATGGGACCAAGAATTTATCGAGAGTAATGAGAAGGGGACTGAGTAACTGGATAGAAGAACCCCAATGCAGGAGCACATGCACATTATTCCCCCACGGGGAGGCATCTCCACCCCCAGCCCCCTTTAACGGCAGCTGATAAAAAAGACGGCTCGTTTTGAGGAGAAGGAGCCTCGATTTCCCAGCTGAGCTAGGGGAGTCCCCCCCAAACCCTCCCCAGCCCTCCCCACCGGCGAGAAAAGGAGCTAAAAGTGCTACGTACAGCTCCAAAGCTCACCATTGGTGACCGGCCGTAGGCGGCAGCGGCGGCGGCGGCTGCGCTCATCTGCGGGGGGAGGTTGTGCAGCCCCGCGTAGGCGCCGGGGCTGGTGAGGGACCCGTTCATCTCGTGGTGCCCCATCATGGCGAAGGGGGCGGCGTAGGAGCCTGCGATGGAGATGGGCGTGCGCAGGGCCGAGGCTGCGGGAGGGACGGGACACGGTCAGGGCGGGGAGCGCGGCCGAGTCCGCAGGGTCAGCCATGGGGGGAAAGACCCCTGAGGTCACCGAGTCCAACCTGTGACCCATCACTGCCTTGCCCCCCCAGCCCAGAGCACTGAGTGCCATGTCCAATCATTCCCTGAACACCTCCAGGGACGGGGACTCCACCACCTCCCTGGGCAGCCCCTTCTAATGAAGAAATTCTGCTGTTTTTCAACCCGGGCCTTCCCTGGCACAGCTTGAAGCCACGCCACAGATCACAGAATATTCTGAGTTGGAAGGGACCCACGAGAATCATCAAGCCCAACTCTTCAGTGAATGCCCCGTGCAGGGATTGAAGCCACAATCTTCCCATTACCAGCACCCCACTCTGACCAACCGAGCTAATCCCACCTCATGTCCAGACATCCTCTCATCCCAGAGATGCAAGGGGCTGGGCCTCCCTCCTCACCCCACCTCTGACACACAGGGACCACCCCAGCCAGACCTGGATTAGGCCCCCCCATAAACCTGATCCCCCCCCAGGCTGCTGTTTCCCATGGATGGGGATGAGCTGGAGCCGGGCTGGTACCCACCCAGGGGGTCCATGCCGGTGGGCTTGCCGGGCATGGGCCGCAGCCCCGGGGTGCTGCTGGTGCCCGGGGTGGGTGCGTCGTTCCGCGGCGTCGGAGTGTTCGACTTGAGCCCGGGCGTCGACGACTTGTCGTTCTGGGGGAGAAGGGATGGAAAACAAGGGGTGAGGTTGGAGCGCCGGCACCCCCAGCCCCCAGCGAGCCCCGGCAGGGTGCGGGACGTACGTGGCCCAGGTCTTTAGTCTTGGAGGAGGGAGTGCTGCTGGAGGAGGCGACCGAGGCCGGGCTGTTGGGAGCGTCCCCCTTCTTCAGCCCGCGGGCTTTGTCCAGGCCATTCTCCGGGGGCGAGTGGGCCGGGCTGACCCGGGGGGTGGCGGGATCCTGTGGGGCAGGAGAAAGCCTTGGAGTCCCCTGCGGCTCCCTCCCACTCCTCCACTCCAGGAGGCCCCTAAGGCATCACCTCCAAACCCCCCCCAGTGGCACGGGCAGAGGGGCAGATCCACCCACAAGGACTCACCTCGTTGGAGACGTCGACCACCAGGTCATCGCTCTTGTCACCATCGCTGTCCTGGAACACAAAGCCAGTCACACCCCGCAGAGAGCCCCAAAAACTGGGGTGGGGGCACCCCCCTGAGGAGCTGAACCATCCCTCCACAGCACCAGGACACTTAGGGGGGATATCAGGGAAAATTTCTTCCCTGAAAGGGTGGTCAGGCATTGGAACAGGTTGCCCAGGGCAGCAGTGGAGTCCCCATCCCCAGAGGGATTTAAAAGCCATGTGGATGTGGCACTTGGGGACATTGTTAGTGGTGGCTCTGGCTGTGCTGGGGGACAGCTGGACTTGATTGTCTCAGGGGGCTTTTCCAACCTAACTGATTCCATGGTTCTGTGACCCATACCATACCTGGAAAACGTTCCCCAACCACGCTGCCTCCCACCCCGGGTCCTGCCTGGTCGTGTCCCTGGGGCTCCCAGTGTCCCCTGTCACTCACATATCGGCTCATGCTGTCCTTCTCCTCCGCTTTCCGCTTCTTGGAGTCGATGCTGTAATCCGTGGAGCTCCGGTGCTTCTCGCTGGCTCTCAGGCTCTCCGAGGGCGACACGGAATTATTCTGCAATGCCACAAGAAGCTTTGAAGTTGGAAACAGAAGGAATTAGGACTTTATGAGCAGCAGCAGCTTAGAAGGTGCCAAGTACAGCCCTGTCCCAGCAGCGGGGTGAGACCCCGTGGCTCCCACCACACAAGGGAGCAGGGAACAGGATCCAGGTGACAGGATCGGACACCGCCCTCACTGTGAGCCCTGGGAATGCTGTGAGGCTGCTCATGGACACCTGAACCCCTTCACTGCAAAAGCACAGCAGGAAAAAATGGAGGAGGTGGTTGTTGCTAAAAAGGCAAATGCTGGGAGGGAGATATAGGAAATTCCAGCAGTTCCCAGTCATCACTGGGATTCACCAGTGGAAACTGGTGAGGGCAGAGTGGGGCAAAGCTGTGCTCCCTAAAATCAGCCCCATCTCCCTCATCCTGTGCTCCCCATGGGAGAACAGGAGCTTCATCCCAGCCTGGGGTAGGGCAAGGACTTTGCACAAGGGGTGGCACCATGGATGGGCATCAGCAGAGCTGGGGGGCCTCATCCAGGAGGAGCAAAGGAACCGCTGCATCCCATTCCCAACATCAGCAGCTGAGCTCTGCCAAGCCAAGGGGCATCCAAAAAACATCCAGGAAAACCCACGTGACCAGGAGCACCACAGCCCAGGGTCCACAGGGATGCCCTGCTCAAGGGGACTTCTGTCCTTGCTTCAAGCAGTGAAGCCCAGGAGATCCAGCATTCCCAGGAAAGCCCCAGAGCCCATGGGTGCTTCCTCTGGCACTGGCAGAGCTGGGAGGTCTCATCCAGAAGGAACAAAGGAACTGCTGCATCCTGGCTCTGGCACCAGCAGCTGAGCCAAAGGACATCCACAAAATATCCCAGAAAACCCACGTGACCAGGAGCAGCAGAGCCCAGAGCCTGTGGGGGCTTCTGTCTCTGCTTCAAGCAGCAAAGCCTGGGAGACGCCGACATTCCCGGGAAAGCCCTTTGAATGCTGGGAGCAAAAATGGCAGCACAAAACCACCTCGCGAGCGCCAGAAGACGCCCGGCCCTGATCCCACATCCCCCCACGGCACAGCCCCTTCCCCACATCCCCTCAGTTCCTGGGAGCAGCAGGAGAAACCCCCCATCCCTCCCCGAGCCTGCCAGCCCCGCTAAGCAGCAACGCTCCCTAAGCTGCTGTGCCTGCCTTTCTTCCCCAGCTGAAAGGGAGAACTAAAGCAGTTCATGTTTCTCCTCGGTCCCCAGTAAGCAGCTTTGGATAACACCGAGCTCTTTCTTCCCAGGCAGTCATGCTGAAAACCCTCGCAGCTCCCGGAGAATCATGTCAAGCATTTAGAGGCATCGATCCATTCAGCGCCGCCGCTGGCCCGGCGCCAAGGAACTAAATATTTTTTATTGCACAGGCAAAGGCTGGGGAAAATATGAATGACTAACGCTGATTACGGCGCATTAAACCTCCCCCGGGAACACCCCGGCTCCGGGCTTATGGATCGGGAACCTTCCCACCTCCGACGGCCCCCTGCCCGCCCGAGGAGCGGGTTAATGATGCCCAATTCCCCTCTCCCCCCTTAAATAGCACTTTCCTTCCCGCCCGCCCCCGGCTCTCAAAAGGCCCATTTGTGGGCTCGGGGATGGCAGGAAATCGCTGCAAAGCCACGGCTCAGCCGGGCTTTGTCCTGGCAGCTTTTCACACGGAATCGCTGGGGTTGGGAAAGACCTCCGGGATCACTGAGTCCACCCTGTGCCCGGCGCCCACCTTGTCCCCCAGCCCACAGCACTCAGTGCCATGGCCAGACCTTCCTTGGACACCTCCGGGGGTGGGGACTCCACCAGCTCCCATTCCAAGGCTTCACAGCCCTTTCCATGAATCCCAGAATATGCTGAGTTGGGAGGGACCCACAGGGATCATGGGAGTCCAACTCCTGGCCCTGCACAGGACCATTCCCAAGGGTCACACCTTGTGGAGAAATTCCTTCTGATGTCTCATTTCCCTGAGCCAGTGGTACACCAGGGTTGAGGGGTCCAGTTGGGCCCCACTGCATGGGGAGGGCAGCTCCCCCCTCCATATCCTCACTGCCTCCCCATTCCTGCTCCAGGGAAACCAGAACCCACCCTGAGGCATCAGGGACATGGAGAGGCACCAGTGCCCTCCAAAATCCAGGGATTCAGGTGGTTTGGGAACTGCTAGACCCTCCAAGTCTGACTTAACGTGGTGTAATTACCAAACCACCCCAGCAGCTGAGATGACCCAAGACAACGGGAGAGGGATCAGGAATAAAACAGCTGTCCCAGTCACTCAAAGGAGTTTGGAGCTGACTGGGCTCACTCAAAACCGAACCACGAGGCTCTGCCACAAGCAAAGAGATTTAACCCAGACCTCAGAACCAGGAGAACCCACTCATCCCAGCACAACTCTTCCAGGCGGGGTGGGAGCTTTGCACTGCCTGGTTTTTATTATTTAATAAGACCTGAGCAAAGGGCAGCCCCGGAGCTCCCACCTACAAAATGGGTTTTAAAGGGATAAAGAAAACAAAACCATGGAGCCACCAAAAACTGGGGGGGAAAAGGAGGCAATGGGACTTACTGCACTTGAGTCTCGCTCTGTCAGGAGATGCCGGGGCAGAGGTGAGGTCACAGCCAAAATAAAGAGGAGACAGAGAAATAAAGCAAGTTAGAATTAAGTCTTAAACCAGAAAATAAACCAAGAAGCTCCTCATGCTCTTAACTCAAACCCTATCTGGGCTCTCTCTGGCTTCAAAATCCCCCTGTTCATCCAGCCCCTGCTGCCTCCCGCCCCTTTCCTTTTGTCTGTGTGATTTATTTGGCAAAACACAGCCGGAAATGCCCCGAATCCAAAGGGAATGGCAGCAGCCTCTGGTGCTTGTCCCCGAAGTCACAACCTCTGACAGTCCCGTTAACATGGTTTAGCCATTAATCTGTGCCCAACAGCCCCATTTTCCCTGGGATCTCCTGGCAATCTGAATCCAAGCAGGAAAAGGAACGTAACTGGATAAATTGCTTTGGATAATTTTGTCTCGCTGTTTTCTCAGGGAGGAAAAACATCCCCAATCCCCCAGCAGAGCCCAACAGCTCAGAGAGGCTGTTGGTACCTGCCCTGCAAATGGGAATGAGGGGGAAATATCCCAAATCCTTCCGTGTTTGGGGACAAGGGGATTTGCCAGGAAAATACTGAACGCTGCTCTCGTTTGCACCTGGAATCACACATCATTTAATCTTCTAAAAAGCTGTCTGATCACTAATAATTAGAAAAAACCCTGAGTTTGGGGGTGAACAGAGGAGGAGGAGGAGGAGGAAGGCTGCTTCCCCACTGAGGCACCACTGAACTGCAGCGAGACTTCAACAAAGGTTGAGCATCATTTAGGGAAAACTGCATCCCTAAAAGCACAATCCCATGGCCTGAAGCCCACAGTCCAGAGGGGTGGGGAGGCGGGAGCAGAGCTGTATGTGGGTCAGGGTGCTGCCCCCACAATCAGAAGGACATGGAGCTGCTGGAGCGAGCCCAGGAGGCCACGGAAATGCTCCAAGGGCTGGAGCCCCTCTGCTCTGGAGCCAGGCTGGGAGAGCTGGGGGGGTTTCCCTGGAGAAGAGAAGGCTCCAGGGAGACCTGAGAGCCCCTTCCAGAGCCTAAGGGGGCCCCAGGAGAGCTGGAGAGGGACTTGGGACAAGGGATGGAGGGACAGGACACAGGGAATGGCTTCCCACTGCCAGAGGGCAGGGTTAGAGGAGATTTTGGGAAGGAATTCCTGTCTGTGAGGGTGGTGAGGCCCTGGCACAGGTTGCCCAGAGAAGCTGTGGCTGCCCCTGGATCCCTGGAAGTGTCCAAGGCCAGGTTGGACGGGGCTTGGAGCAACCTGGGCTAGTGGGAGGTGTCCCTGCCCATGGCAGGGAGTGAGACCGGATTTTAAACTCCCTTCCCACCCACGCCATTCCAGGACGATTCCATGAGCTCCAGCACCAGTGGATGCAGAGAGGAGCAGCCCCATGGCCCCTCGCTCTCACCTCTGTGGTCCAGGTCATGGTGGTTCTTCTCATCCTTGACAGCAAGGTGGGCCTGGCTGCCCAGGGCTCCGAGGGCCAGCAGCCCTGAGCTGGTACCAGTGACCGGCGGAATTCCCGGCGGCTGGAGCCCCGAGGGATGCAGCGGCAGCTGGACCGGGGGCCCGTGGGCGGCGTGGGAGAGGTGCTGGGCCTGGAGCTGCTGCTGCTGCAATGAAAGCACCAGTGAGCCGGGGAGGGGCACTGGGGGCACCGAGCGGTGCCGGGAAGGGACATTCCCGGTGTCCCGGGGTGATGCCCCGGGAGCCGCCCCGCTGGGACACCTGGAAGGAGAAGCCCCGTTAGCAGGACGGACAGAGGGTGCCCAGGCACGATGCCCATGTCAGGAGGGCACACGTGGCACGCCCGCCCTGGGATCGTCCCTCAGTCACAGGAACACGGCATTGCTGCAGACCTGGTTAGTTTGGGGTTTTCAGCAGGTAAAAGCAAAAAATAAAATACAGGAATCCCACCCAGGAGGCAGAGAGTGGCCCTGGCCAGAGTGCAGAGGCTAAACCAGCCAGAGAGAGAAAATTCCAGCAGCCAGGATCCTCCCAGACACCTCAGGAAAGCAAGTTTTGCTAATTTACTCAGGACCAGCTTTAAGGTGTTTGAAGGGGAGAAGAAAATGCCCACTTAGTGCCCCCATCCCATCCCATCCCATCCCACCATCCTGTGCTCCAGACCCCTTCCGACATCACTGGCTGTCCCTTGTACTGGATAAATCATGGAGGGATCCCCTCAACTCCACCACAGGGCTGGGCATCACCCCCACATTCCCTGGCACACACACAGGGAGCTGCAGCCCAGCTCCCAGCTGCTCCCAGGGGCTTTTTGGGAGCCCTGAGTCCCAGCCATCCCAGCACACACTCATCCAGCCATGGGGATCGATTCCCTGCTCCATTACAGCTGCAAAAAGCTGAACTACAGCTCTGGGGAGAGAAAAGGAAAACCAAACACATCCCCAGCGATCCTATTTCAAACACAAACTTGGAAGAAAACCTGCTGAAATCCGTGGAGCTGCTTCCAGGAATCCCCAGGCCCCCCCTCCTGCAGCTCCTCCGCTCCCAGGACACCCCTGGTCCAGCCAGGAGGGTCTTGGAGCTGGCACTCCTCTCTGGGACCCTCCTGCCTGCACCCACAGCCCCCCTCGAGCAGCACCCCATAGCTCCCAGTGAAGACACAGTTGGACAGCAGCAGGAATCAGGAGCTGGGAAGGGGACACCTGAGCTGCAGTGGAGTCTTCCTGACTCCTCCAGATCCCCACAACCACCTCGGCTCAGGATTTCTCCTCAGTGTCACCAAGCACCGACCTGTGTCCTGCCCAGGGCACCCAAAGGGCACAAGGAAACAGCAGGACCTGCTGCCACCCGGCCCAGTTCCAGGGACACCACCAGGAATACACCAAAAACATCCCCAGGTACAGAGCACTCCATGATTCCAGCAGTTCCATCACAGACATTTCCAGCAGAACTGGAGGAAAACACACCCAGGTGTCCCACATCCCTGGAAGTGTCCAAGGCCAGGCTGGACATGGCCTGGTCTACAGAAGGTGTGGAACTGGATAAGCTTTAACGTCTTTTCCAAGCCAAACCATCCCAGGATTCTTTGGGAAGTTTTCCCACACCAAGGCCAGGTTTTCATGGGAACAGCTCCGACCCACTGCCCACGGAGGGACCCGTCCTGGGGCAGCAGAAGGTGGGCCTGGCTGTCAAACTCCAGGCACAGCAGGATAGAGCAGCCCCTCACTGGGGGCAGGGGAGGTGGGAGCCTTCCCAGGGCTGTGATGGAGAGGGAAATCCTCGGCCAGAATGAGATCCAGGGTCGGAGCCGAAGGCAGGAGCTGCATTATCTCCAAACAGCTTCTTCCAGGCAGCACCGAGGTCCCGGCTGGGGCAGAAGCCAAATGGAGAAGGCAATTAGGCCTCTGGTATAGGAAAAGCATAAATCACTGTGCCCTCAAAAAGCAGGAGCTGGAAGCTTCTCCTAGGCTGCTCCATCCACAGGGCAAGGACAGGAAACATCCTCAGGATCACCATTCCAGGAGTGTCCTCCAAGGAGAGCTGGCGGGGTGAGGGAGCACCACGAGGGGTGATTTCCTCAGTAACTCCATCTCCTGCCACACACACGTGCCGAGATCACCCCTCCAACAGCAAAGCAAGTGGAACAGATCCTCAGATCTTCCTGAAATCAATGAGGCTCCTCACAATCCCAATTCCATGTGATTTCCACCCATTGAAGCAAGAGGCAGGGCTGGCCATTGTTTGAGAACATCACCCAGATAATGGTCCCAGATGGTTTTCCAGCACAGCACATTCCTCTCCTGCAGGCTCTCCAGTGGTGCCCATCCCTGCAGGGCCGGAATACACAGAGATCCAACGTTTTATCCTCAGCAACCTCCAACCTCCACCTTAAACATCTGCATGGCTTAACTCATCCCAGCAGCTTTTCACCCAGGAGCCCCAAAAAAGGGATGTGGTCCCGTGGAAATCCTGGATCCAGGCAGCAACACTCCATTCCCGGGGTGACGATGGGGACCACAGCCCCGGCACAGCCCCAGGGGACAACACAGCTCCACCACAGTGACACAGCACCATCCCGAGCAGGAGACTCAGCATCCGGAGCCTCACCCTCCAGCACAGCAGGAAACTGGTTTTTCTTCCTTTTCTTTAGGCTGTCAACAAATAAATCCATCCAAGGGCTCCGTGAGCTGCGGGAACAGCCCCTCACAGCAGCCCCACTCCAGGGGGGCGTGGAAACCAAGGTCAGGACACAACATCCCACTGTGGCCCAAAATAACACTGAAAGGTGTTTTCCTCCCTCTGGCAGCAGGAACCAGTGAGCAGAATCCACGTGGGAAGTCCTCACTGGTGGGAAGCCTTGTCCCTCCATCCAGCACTACAGCTCCATGGAGTAGCCAAGATCCCACCTCAGGGCTGCAGAGCTCCATCTCCACTGCTGAAGGAGAATGTCTCAGCTGGATCACCCCCAGGGCAAGGAGAAGAGGATGAGCCAACAAGCCCAGTGCACATCCCCGGGTGATGCTGGAGGATCCCCAGGCTCCGCTCCCAGATCCCTCCGCCGTCCTTCCCATTCGCGCCACTCCACCGTGTCCGATGCACATCCCTCGGGAATAACATCCTGGAGACTCCATAGAGTGCCACAAAGCCCGCCTGGGACTCCATGGCCGTGTTTCTTTGTCAGCCCACAGAGCAGTCGATGCACATCCCTCAGGAATAACATCCTGGAAGCCCCGTGGAGTCGGCACAGGGGTGGTGCTCGCTCGGTGTCCTCTGCTGGAAAGCCCAACTTCCCTCCCCGGCCCTTATTCCAACCCTGGAAAAGGTTGTTTTTAAAAACACACCGTGTGAGGGCTTGCTGCAAATATCCCAGGAATGGAATACAGGAGTTCTTTGGGCTCCCAAAAACTCCCCAGCACCCACGGCTGGGTGCTGATGGCAGGGACAGGACAGGGATCAAGGTCCTGGTCAACGAGTGACACAGCACAAGGACCTGGAGCAGCCTTTCAGAACCAGGGACCCTCCCAACGCCTCCCCAGCTGAACCACAAGCTCAGACCTGCTCAGGACGCTGCCCTGGGGCTCCTCATCTGCTGGCAGGACCCCAGAACGGATCCCTGTCCCCACATATCCCAGGACAGCAGCCTGCAGTGGATAAAGACCCGGCAAACCCAACCCGAGGTGACAGCGGGAGCCGACGGGGACGCACAGGCACCGAGAGGTCTCCTTCCTCCTGGGGTCCCCTCAGCACGTGCCAGCCAAAGATGGGGAGGATATGAAGAGGTTATAAATTTAGGAGAAAGCTGGCAAGGAATATCTGGTCCATGGAGTGGCTTTAATTGGATTATGTACATCATGCTTCATGCCTTTGTTCACCGATTTAATGGTTCACCACTTAAGTTCACCACTTGCGTTAAATTTAGTAAAGTAGTCTAATCATTTCCAGAGCTATAACCAAATCAAGGGCTCAATTTCACACAAGCCTGAAGCAGAGGAACTGTGAGACAATGGCCTAGATGCATAAAATTAACAGTTCTTGACCTCAAAAGGGGCGAAAAAAAAAGATTTTCCTGATTTGGTGGGTTTTTGTGTGAGGCAGCACCTGCACTGAGTGCTGGGGCAGTTTGGGAGGGCTTCCCTTGGTGGGAGGGTTGGGACAGCAGGGCCACCTATCCCCAGGGACACGGGATCCCCAGGGACACAGGGGTGGGGCCGTGCACACCCCAGCACTGCCCTCACCCACCCGAGGAGAGCAAACAAACACAAGGGATGTGTCCACATGAGCAGCCCTACAATAACAAACCCCTGTGTGCAACGAGGGGAGGAAAAAGAACCTCAAATCCTCTGGGTTTGGTGCCTCGGGGGCACCTGAGCAGGTGCAGTGGCACAGACCGAGCTCCATATCTCCAGGATGAGCATGGAACATCCTCTACAAGGCATGGAAGGACATGGAATCACTCGTCACCTTCCTGTCAGCAGCAGCCCTACAATAACAAACCACTCCATGCACAGAGGGGAGAGAAAAGAACCCAAAATCCTCTGGGTTTGATGTCTGAGGGGCACCAGAGCAGGTGCAGCAGCACAGACCCGCCACCCAAACCACCTCCAAATCTCTGGGATGAGCCTGGAACCTCCTCTACAAGACATGGAATCACTCACCACCCTCCTGCCAGCAGCAACCCTACAATAACAAACTGGTATGTGTAGTTTTTTTGGAGGAAAAACCCAAAAACTGTTGGGGTTTTGTGCCTTGAGGGGCACCTGAGCACAGAAACAGCACCCAAACCAGCTCCACAGCTCTGGCCTCCCCTCCAAGCCGTGGAAAGATGTGGAATTGTCCACCAGCCTCCTGCCAGCACCGTGTCCCTCCCCAACAAGTCACGGCGGGAGGAGATGCCCATAATTCCTGCTGAAAGTTCGTCAGGAAAGCGATTAAACGGCTGGGCTGGCTGCTTAATGACAGGAGGCACTCGCTCTGATCCAAGGAAGCAATTACCTCGGAAATGGGGGTCACGGGCCCTGCTCATTCACCTTAATTGAATTCCAATATCTGCCTCCAGCTGCCGGGGGCTCCTGCCTGCGGCTCCAAGCAGCTCATCAAAGCTGTGGGCTCCCTCCTCCCTGTCTCTGCTCACCTCCCAGCACTCCATGGTGCTGCCTGCCACCCCAAAACTCAGCTCCCGTCCCTGGGCCACCTCCCAAGAGCCACCAACCCCACCACCAGGGATCCACCTGCTACAGAACCTTCCCTCATCCCAAGAGACTGCAGGAGCCCGGAGCACAATTCTACCTTTGGTGCTACCCACAAAATAGAGAAAAATGTAGAGAAGAGCAGGTTAAGTGGAGAGAATTATAAAGATCCTTGTAGCTTAAGAAGTGCAAATAGTTATATAAAAAAAAAGGCATTAAAAATGAGCATTTTCTGCAAAACAAAGACCCAAAGCCAGAGGAGCTCTGGAGCCACCTGCCCGGGATGCTGGATGGGAACACCGATGTCCCGGGGTCAGGAGCAGGTTTGCTGCAGGACTGAGACCGTGACATCAATTAAAGAAACAATAAAAATGGTTAATCCTCAAATTAACCCCCCCCCCTGAGGTCTGCGAGAGAGAACCCGGCCAGCGGGAGCGGGTCATCAATGCATGGGACAACAACCCTGCCAAGGGCACAGCACATTCCACACCAACAGCCCAGCAGAGACAAGCCTGGGCTCAGGGGGTCTGCTGGGTCCTGCTCTGCACCCCAAACACTGCCCAGGCCATGGAGAACATCCAATTTGGTCACTGGAGGCTCCTGGAGCTGCACCACCACCCAGGAGGTGGAGATTCCACCCCTTGTCTCGCTCAATGCCAGACTGGGGGAGTTTTGGTCATTTGGGGGGGCCATGGGATGGCTGGGGGGGTGTGAGCCGCCCTGCTTTATCCCTCCTGAGCGCAGGGTTGCCTCTGGTTATGGTAAATGATAGGAATAAAAGGGGTATACACACGGTGAGAGGCAGATTGGGAAGTCCACGTACCCCGATGATAGCATTCAACTCCGTCATTGTCACTTGCTTGGCACGTTCAACAGCCTGTGCCACTTGCTGTTGGTGCTGCGGGGACAGAGGGGCAGGGCCAGGTCAGAGCTGGGCACAGGGGGACCAGCCCAGAGGCAGGACCCCCCCTCCAGAGATGCTCACCCCTCTGCTGGGCTCTATTTTGCTCATCCCCGGGAGCACCTCCCAGCTCCACGGGGTGCAAGGAGGGTGGAGAAGCCCCTCAGCCTTTTTGGAGACCCCCAAACCCCTTCACAGGGCCCAGCTCTCCCCCATCCCAAGGGTTTTCCAATGCACATGGAGGATCTGAACTCCATTTCTCACTCAGCCCCACACCCCCAGGGACCCACGAGGGGCTCACCCACTGCCTGCCTGGGGAAACCCCCCCCGAGAGAAGCAGCAACTCCTCACCCAGGGTTTGAAAACTTCCTTACCTCTTGTGACAGAAAAGGCATGATCTGGGCTAAAATTGTATTCAGTCTTTTAGCAATTTCTGTCTGAAAAAAAGGAAGAAGAAAACCCAACAGTCAGCACCAAACAGCCTCCCACGGATGGCTCGAGGCTTCCTGGAGCAGTGCTGTGCATCCCCTCCCTGTCCCCCCTCCACGTCCCTTCCCATATATCCCATTCCCATCCCCTCCCACTCCTCCAAGTGGAAGCAGCAGCTCCCAACAGAGGCAATAAAAGCACCTTCAAGCACAGCAGCACGGGGACACATCCCTGCTGCCCTGGGACACTTGAGGCCCCTTCCCATCATGGGATGAGTGTCACAGACCAGCCCCAGCAGTGCTGCACCACCCTGGACTTCCCTGGCTTCATAAAAACGTAGCACTGGCACAACTCCTCATCCTTGGAGCAGCTGCTGGGGGCTGGATCCCAGAAAATCCAGTTTTTGGTGGCCCTCGCCATCACCTCCCACTCCTGGTACAGTGGTGGGTGTTGAGTTTCTCCAGGAGAAACCCTGGCAGAGACACCAGAGAGGGCTGGGGGTCCTTGCTCTGCTCTCTGCCCATCCCACACGAAGCTGGTGGTGTTCCCTTCGCCATCCTCACATCCCACTCCGGAACAACCCAGACCCACCACCAGCTCCACTGAGCTACTGGGACTGTAACAACCAACCATGCTGACAACTGTGGGAATAATTAACTGGGAATGCTGCTTTCCTGGAGGGATGCCCCCAGCCCAGTGCTGGAAGGTGCCACCCTCCCACACACCCCATGGACACTCCTGGCGGGCTCCCCCAGCTCCCACCAGGATCACTCAGCTCCCAAGGGTTACCCTGGGATCACTCAGCTCCCAA